AGGTAGAAGAAAAAGAAAAGCCTTCCTTGAACGATGACCAAAGTACCGATTGAAAAGACAGTGGCCACCATCGGTCAAGGGCCGGGCTGGTCATGGCTGAGGTGCACACACTCTTCTAAACATGGGCAGCTCCTCGGCCTGGATCTTCCAGACCTGATGAAAGGGGAAAGCTCCCAAATGCTCACTGAAGCTGTGACGCTAAGAACCCAAACCTTGTAAACCTGTCCCCAGAAAGACAGACCCAGGGATGAATTTCCTATGGAACTTTATAGATGGAGCGTTCTAAATATGTTCTTCCCAGCTGAAATGTAGGGAGAGCAATGGGTGCTCAGTAACCCATGGACACAGTAAGAAATAAAAGGCATAAATGATATCAGGAGATTGCAGAAAGCTGGCACATCAAACTCAGCAGCCACTTACAAAGCATTAACTAATATCTGAGTAGAAATGTGGTGGGCACTCTGGGCACACCTGACAGTGATAGGACCAGGATGCACCCAGACCACGTGGCACCTGCCCCAGCCATGCCTGGACACCTGAATTTCAGGTGGAACACAACAGTAGAAAGAAGGAGATTAAAAATGCAAGATCAGATGGAAAACCAAAAGAGCTAGGAGAAGAAAACAAAAACACAAAAGTAGTTTTCTGAAAAGACCAGTTTCAGCACAAAACTTCTCCCAAGCATAATGCAAGGAAAGGAGGGAGAATAAAATGTGAGGAATTTGTAGAAAGGGGGCACTGAGCACAGGCAAGGTGAGGATAAAAGGGATTAGGAGGGAAAGCTGCCTGCATCTTGCTGGGCACACTTCTGAAAATCAAGGAAACCATGAGTTCCCAAGCAACACTGAATCAGGTAGAAGAAAAAGAAAAGCCTTCCTTGAATGATGACCAAAGTACCGATTGAAAAGACAGGCTCCACCATCGGTCAAGGGCCGGGCTGGTCATGGCTGAGGTGCACACGCTCTTCTAAACATGGGCAGCTCCTCCGCCTGGATCTTCCAGACCTGATGAAAGGGGAAAGCTCCCAAATGCTCACTGAAGCTGTGAGCCTAAGAACCCAAACCTTGTAAACCCGTCCCCAGAAAGACAGACCCAGGGATGAATTTCCTATGGAACTTTATAGACGGAGCATTCTAAATATGTTCTTCCCAGCTGGAATGTAGGGAGTTGTCAAAAAAAAGGATATATCCTGACCAAGGAGGACACATTCCAGAAACCACGGGACTCTCAGCAGGATGCAGTGGGTGCTCAGAAACCCATGGACACAGTAAGAAATAAAAGGCATAAATGATATCAGGAGATTGCAGAAAGCTGGCACATCAAACTCAGCAGCCACTTACAAAGCATTAACTAATATCTGAGTAGAAATAAACTAAGTATTATTTTTAAACTATTTGGAAAAAAACAGTAGAAAATATCTTAGAGGGCCACGAACTCCCAAAGCCATTCCTGTGAAAATCAAATAGAAGGAAACACAGGACTTTCTTACCCTCCTTGATTTCAGAAAATTTGGGGGGAAATAAAGGAAACCTACGCAAATTAAACAAACAAACAAAAAATACAAACAAGAAGGATGTATCTGTAGCTGCAGTACAGTGCATTCTAAGTACATGATCATATAAGACAAGTCAAAAGATTCCCCAAAATCTAATCTAGCAGGTTGGGGGCTGCAAGAGAAGGTGCAGGGATCTGGCCTTGTCCTCTTCGTAAGGAAACAGCAGTGGAAATGCGCAAATGTGCACATCAGTGGGGCCGATCTAGAGCCCGAAGCCCCAAATTGGGGGTGTCAGGGCTGTGGGGCTTGGGCTCCTCCAGGACATGTTTAGCAGCAGGGAGTGTGGGAGCCATCACAGCTCACAGGCCTAGAAGCACAGTCCCAGGCGCAGCTCTCCTGGAGCCCCGGGCAGCCCCTGGCCCTCTGTCAGACTCTCCTATCAGGAGCTCCTGAGAAGTGAATGAGCTGAGCATGGGAGCCTTCACAGGGGTTGGCATCGGTTCATACTGTCACCCTGACAGGTGGCATCAGGGAGTGGAAGCCCAGGCATGAGCTGCCCTCCTTGACTCCTGGAAAGCCCTGAGGGGTAGGGGCCAGGCAGCCCCGGGCACAGATCCTGAGTAAAACATTCCAGGGAAGCAAGCTCAGGGCCCCGGAGGCACTTGCTTTCACCCACGGGGAGAGGCCCCTTGAGGAGAGAAGGAAAGTGACACATGGTCAGGAGGGGGCAGCCCCAGGTGAGGACTGAGTCCCCGGGGAGATGGAGCAGGAGGCCCGGGCTGGGGTGGCCTGATCCCCATGTATCTAAAAGGGGCTTGAGGGGCATGGGTCTGGGGCCTACCCATCAGCAGTGGGCTGTCCTCAGTGGTGCCCCCACCAGGACTGCTGAGCACAGGCTGTGACATGGCTACTGAGGTCATGCTGTGTCCTGGCGACTGCACCTGGCTGTGGGAACAATCAGGACATTTCTGCAGCAAAAACTCCCTTTCCGGCCACGTGCACTGACCCCTGTATGACTGG